GCCCCTTTGCACCCCACCTGGTAAACATGCTGCCTGGTTTCAGGCAAGTTCTAGCAAGTCTAGTATTTTGGGCTGGGAACAAGGCGGGTTTTCTCCCGGAGCTCCTCAGCCCAGGCGTGGCCAAGTACAATGCCTGAAACTGGCTGTTGCCGGGTGGCAGCTCTCACGGGACCCACTTAGGGGGAGAGCCATGAAGATGCCCAAGTCCAATTTTTATAGCCACAACTGCTATCCACACAGCTGCATCTGAATTGCTAGGTGCCTTACTCTTTTCCCCCTTAGGCCCTGTGTGCTGCAGCCTCACTTGGGCCACTCGCTGGGCTCTGGTTTCCTGCATGTGCATGTATCTGCTGCCCTGTGATAGGCTTCTGGACCCCTTTGTCCCGCCTACACCACAGCAGGATGTACAAACTAGGGAAGGGAGGTGAGCGGCTGCCCAAGATGTAGGCAGGTAGCCCAGTCTGGTAGGTCGCCTCTGAGCCTGCCTATCCGATCTGGCCTCTGTTGAGTTCATTCAGCAGAGTCCTAGGGGGAAGCTCTCCTGGATATCTGGTGCCAAGGAACTCCCCTCAGGATGTTTGATCCATTGTTTGTCCCCTGCCCTCCCAGGGAGAGGCGATGCCAAGAAGAATCTGCCAGCTCTGATAGTTCCCTAACTATGCTGGTGTGGCGCAGTGATTTTTCCATCCATGTGCAGAATAAATATTAAGTGCACTGAGGCCATGGGAAGGTGCACCACCAGGAGAAACACACACCCAGCTGTGGGCGCTTTCTCAGCTGGGCCCCATTGGAATCTGTCCCTGGCCCAGCTTACAGGGACCCTGGGGTAGCTCTCCCGCAGTCTTTCCTCTTGACGAGCCACCGGAGTTAAGCACTAGAATCCTTAAACTGGGCTGGAGAGCCAGTGATTGGTAGCTGCACCTGGCACACCGGTGCGTGGGGCAGGGGAAATCCCTCCAGAGGGGGCGCCACCCACGCTTGGCATGAGCACCCTGCCCCAAGCTAGAGATTGCAGGAGAGATCGACAGGCCACCCGCTTGGTTTTGAGTCCCGTGCAGTGTAAGCAGCCAAGCACCAATCTCCATGCTGTGGCTCACGAGCAGAGCTGGTTGCCTTCTGTGCAGCCCAGACGGAGCACCTCTTTCTGAGAGGGCTCGGGCTGGTGTCTGCCAGTGGCCGGCGTCAGTAGCTCCTGGCCTATTGTCCTGGCTTTGCGAGGTGCAGTCCAGGCTTCCCATTCATTGGACAGCAGGGGAGTTGGAGATGGGTTATTTTAGTAACCGTGTAGCCTCAGCAATTTGTAGTGGTTACACTATAACTAAAATGCTCCTCCCCTCGGGGAAGCGGGGCTGGCAGCCAGTGCTCTCCTGCTGCTTCATGCTGCTGCTACTGTCTGAGGCAGCAGCGCAGGGTGGCAGGCAGAGCTGGTCTGTGAGGGGAGCCAGTTTAAAAACCGGCTCCCTGTGCAGACGGGCACCTGCGTGCTGCCTCCGATACAGAGGCAGCAGCATGAGGTGGCAGCAGCTCCTGTCTGCAAGGTCCCCACGGACAGAGGTTGCTCTGGTACTTGCCTGCCCTGGCATCCCACCTCCCCCCACTGCTGCCTCTGAGCTGATTCAAGCCAGCTCCCTGCATGTACTGGCTCCCGCCAGCAACGCGGGGGAGGAGGGAGGGAAAGCAGGCGGCTCTGTGGCACTGGCATTCGCAGAGAACTGGCTTAAAAGCCGGCTCCCCATGCATATCGGCTCCTGCCTCTGATAGAGGCAGCCAGGGAGGCTGTTCTCTGGGAGCTGACTCAAGCTGGCTCCCACCTGCTCCCCTCATCCTCTGCTCTGCTGTCTCTGATAGAGAGGCAGCAGCATTGGGGGGAGGGGTGTGTGTGTGTTAGGATTAACTGTTACGCCCACGCTAATCGTTTAACCTGCTAACATCCCTATTGGGCTTTGAGAATTGCTGAGTTGCCTCTGTGGGGTTCCTCTGTGGGGTTTTGGACATTGCAACAGCCAAAGTCCCATTCTGCCTCCCAGCCTGACTTGGGCCCCAGTGCCCTGGTGTCTTTTTCCTACTGGAGGCTGTTGAAGGGTCAGTCACACCTAACTGGGTGTGTTGCTTCCAGGGAGGCTGACCGTGTTATCCTAACCACCTGCCAGGAGCGAGGCGCCCACCTGGACACCTTCAGTGCTATCTCACAGCAGCTGGGCAATAAAACTGCAAGCGAGGTAAGAGCTTGCAGGTGAGAGTGGTGTGGATCATTTGGAAAGCAGCTGTGGAGGTCTCAAAGTTGGGGGTGTTGTGACCTCTTGAGGGTGGTTAATGGGGGCAGTATGAGCTGTCATCTACCACCAAAGCCCTTTACCTCCAGCATTTATAATAGCGTTTTAGATTCTGTAGATTGATGAATTTTTAGTGTAGATAGGGGGCAGGGGGTGTCGAACTCCAAGGCTGATATGCTGCTTCAGGGACTGCGAGATGGTCACAGCATTAGCTGGGGTGCCACTCCTGCCTTGTGGCACAAAATGGAAGTAGTAAAAAGTCAGCCTGTGGCGCTGATCAGCCTGTGGAGAAGAGTGCTAGGCTGCAATTGCACGAGGGGTTGGGGTGTAGGCTTGGAGCACTGGTTGAGCTGAGAGTAGTTCACAGGTCAATCCTTCTGGTGCTTCCCACCGTCATGTACTAACCAGGGTGGAAAAAAATCATTGATTTAAATCAAGTTTCCTACTGATACTGGATATATTTCTGAAACATTGGGGCTAGTAGGATCAGTGAAATGTTGATTTACAACTCAGTATAGCATTTTATGTCTAGGAAGGCACACTGGGGCTGTCTCTAGACTGGAAAGTTTTTCCGCAAAAGCAGCTGTTCAGTGTTTTTGCGGAAATACTATGCTGCTCCCGTTTGGCAACAAGAGGGCCAGTGTAGACAGGTAAAAACTGTTTTGCACAAAAAAGCCCCGATGGTGAAAATGGCGATTGGGGCTTTCTTGCACAAAACCGCGTCCAGATTGGCACGGACGCTTTTCTGCAAAAAGTGTTTTTGCGGAAAAGCGTCCATGCCAATCTAGACGCTCTTTTCCGCAAATGCTTTTAACGGAAAATCTTTTCCGTTAAAAGCATTTGCGGAAAATCATGCCAGTCTAGACGTAGCCTTGGTGTCCTATTTTTAGATGACTTGAATCTATTATTTTAGTGCAACACTCATTACCTGTGTCAAAATGCAGATGCTGCAGTGGCACGGTAGGAATGGTGAGAACTAAATCTCACAAACACAACTGCTCTTATTTTATTCAATTCAATCGTAATTGTTACATAAATGTTTTACATTTGCCTTTGTACCTGTTTGACTCTAACCCAGCCCTCAGAACACTCAATGTTCAGTGCCCTTAAAACTTCAACTTGAACTCATAATTAATTCTCACAGGTGGGCCCTGCATCCTCCTCCTGGTGCGCTGCTTATGCACGACATGTTTTCCATTTTTACCCAGAGCATGTCTTCAAAATATCCCTAGCCAGGCTCTCACATCCAGAAGCAGTGATGGTTTTGCCACAGATAAATTAGGGGGGAATACAGGAAGCTGCATTTTATCTGGTGTTTAATGGTTTCCCTTTCTCTTTCCAGTCCACACCAGTGCTTCTTTCTCTGCTGCCTCTCTCCTTTCCTATATATTGTCTCTCTTACCGAATTCCTGCCATGCTTGGCCCAGCTCCTCCACCACATAAGCACAGAGCAAACCCAGTCCAGTCCAGCCAGTGTCTGTCTTTGCACATGTGACTTTAGTCAGAGACCGAAAGCCCAGAGCTTACAAGAAGCACAAGCTGAGAGCTAGCCTGGACGGACTGCAGCCATTAGGTCATTGTTATGAGGCTGGAGATGTCTAATGTTTGGGATGAGATTTAATTGTAACTCAATTGTAAGTCAAAGAATACATTTCTCATTTAAAAATACCAACACAATTGTTTAAAGAAACCATTGATTTCTGTCCCCCCTGGTAGTAACCTGAACTCTTGAATTTCCAATGCACCTAAATCCCTTTTAGGCTGCTCCACATACACCACTTGCTATTAATAATTAGCTCAACTCTTTAAGGTGACTGCTTTCCTCCAAGATTTTTAAATGATTTCTGGGTACTGCTGCAGTTCTTTTGGCCTGGAATTGGAGTTGGGTTAATGCTGCCTGCATTGTAATGTCTAATCTTAGTGTTGGGTGGGTGGGACCAAAAGGCCCAAGGTTCTGAGCTCTGAAGTCTCTTGCCTTGGTCAGGTGTCGCACCGGTTCAGGGAGTTGATGAGGCTCTTTCATACCTCCTGTGATGGGAGCTCTGAGGAGGAGGAAGATGCAACAAGCACCAGCAACACGGACCAGCTGTCCGATAAGGATCTGCTCCTCTCTGAAGAAGAACAGGACGACTAAGCAACTTGATGCTGCTGGACAAACTACGAGGCAAGAGCCAGTTTGCTGCTGGAGGTAGGAATATTTGCACAGGACTATAACTTCAACTGGCACCATACAACTTCGGATAATCTTGCTATCTCAGTTGCATGCCTGCAGAAGCACTGCTCTAATAGGGTTTGTGACATACACAAAGCACTAGTAGGGTGTTACCCTGACAGCTTTAAATTCTGCAGATGTGACCTGCATGATGAAAAGGAGAAATCTTAAGACTTCCTCAGGGGCAGGGTCCTATCTCCCAGCCACTGCCTCTTGTGTACTGAAGATTAGAGTGAAGATCCTAGTGACTTATTGCAGATACTGCAGTAAAACTTGTAATTATTGTATCATAAGATGGGTACTGTTTTCAGGTGAAGTAAATGTTTTCCCATACTTCAATTTTGTAAGTTTCATCACTGTTCCCTTTTTATGTATGTTCTCATCCTGTCATTTTACAGCACAACAAACCTGTATTGTGGGAAACCAAGGTTAACGTAAGACGAAATCCCATGCTTGTATTGCAGCTCTCTGAAGTCCCTCCCTCTCACGGTCACAGATGAAGCAGGACTAACTTCATTTGCACTAACATTTTATTCTTGAAAAATCAGTTAAACTAGGGCACTGGCTTTAAGTCTCTCTCCTTGCTGAAAGGACAGTTAGTCTGAGTCTTCATCTTCTGATTCACCCAGCACGGAGCTTGTCTCATAGCATTGGGCTAGCGTGCGGAGCTCATGTAGAGCCTCCTGAAAATCAGAGAGTTCCACGCCGGCAGAAAAATAGCTAGCCCAGCGGCGTAGGTTCACTCGCTGCAGCTCCTTGTATAAACGGCAGAGAGCACTGTACAGAACAGGTGATGACTGCACTGCTGTTAGTACAGGAATGCTTTCGAGTGCTGTGGAAAAAAAATCTCCGCTGAGACAACCCATTCCAAGTACGGTCACCCTCTTACCATCCCCTTCTACTTCTAAACAAGTGTTCAGCCAGGCGCATGCACTGACACTGGCTAGCTTGAGATGCCAGCTTGTTCATCCCTCCACTATTGGTTCCCAAGTTTCTAAACAAGAGTTAACCCCTTCCTCCCAGCTGCCTGGTACTAAGCACTTTGTCCCAAAGTCTTACCGGTTGAGCAGCGTGGAGGGTTGTCCAGGAGGAACCCTTGTGTGTTTAGCAGAGCGGAGAAAAACTGCGGGTATGGGGTAGACACTTTACAGGGCTCTTGAAGCAAATAAGAGGTGCTGCCGAGGAAACAGAGTGAGCAGAAGTTACCCACCAATGCCTGGTCAGTGACCCATCCCCCAAGCAGTCACAGCATGTCCAACCTGAATGTCTCTGGGAACTGGGCATGTAAGTAGCATTCCAGAACCTCCTCTCCTGTTCCGCAAGCATGGAGGGCAGACTTGGGTTGTGACCCTGGAGGACAATTACTGCAAAGAAATATGAGGAGAGGGCTGAGGAGGCTCTGAACACAGACATGGGTCATAATCAGGGCTGCGCCTCGGGGCCGAGAATCGTTCGAGCCTGATCGCAAACCAGCACAATGTACTAGAACGATGCCAGGGGCTTGTGATGCTTAGGAAGGGGAGCTGGCCGGGGGTAACCTGAGAAGAGCAGCAGGCCTCCCACTTGCCTCAAGGCTGCATGCTCTCAGTGCTCTTGCATTAAGGATTTGAAGGCCAGAGACAAGGTCTCTCCCTTCAGAGCTCCTATTGAGAGATCACCCAGCTCACACGGAGGGGTGTGTGCGTGACCCAGTCATTTCTTACCAGCTCTGCTTCTCTTTGCCAATTCCCCTCAGCACAACAGCCTGACCAAAACAGCAGCTGTCCTTTGGCTCCCCACACGACGACAGCGGTGCCCACGGCACGGCAAGCTGGTAGTTGCACAAAGCATCTGGGAGAGACTGATCATGTGCCATAGGAAAGGGCAGAGCAGCCCCTGCAGTCACCACCTGAGAGCCAGAGGGAGAACAGGCCTATAGAAAAGTCGATAATCTGAGTTCTCTGGGGAGTGGGGGGGCTCATGCAAGCGGTCTGTTTTCAAGATCACCAACAGACAGCTGCAGCGTGTTATACAGGGGCCCAAGATGTCGGCAAGAGGGAAGTGGGCATCGTGCCCCATAGAAGAGAGTGACCGTAACATTCGCCATATCGCTTCTGCCATACGCCCATGGGCACAGCAGGACTGGAGGGGCAGCGCGAAAGTTGCGGAGAAGAACCCTACCTTTCTCCCAGAGACGTTAAATGCATCCGCAAGCTGCGCCATGGAGATGGGGGAGGACTGGAGTCTGTAGGGGACACTGAGGGTATCCAATGCTGTGGCCAAGATGGCGCTGCTGTGGTAGTTGAGAGAGGCCTACAGAAGAACGATTGAATCACAGCAAAGATGATTTAAATGCCAGACACTTCTGTCCCTTAATGGAGCAGTTTCTATTGGGAATGGCCAAGGCAGAGCAAAGCAAAACAGCCCAGAGGATACAAACGGCCCATGCTTGGTTTTAAAGCCTGAGAGACTTGCTGGCGTTTGTTCAGCAGAAGGCTGGTACCAAACATGGCTACGGCTGATTACCTCCTTCGGCTCAGCGCTGGGCTTAGCCCCTCTTCCTGGGCATGCCTCATTGGGGGCTATTCACAGAAAGTTTGGGGAGGGGAGAGAGCAGGTTCTAGAACAGGGCTACTCAACATTGGAAGCTCCCGGGGGCCACAATGATACTCACAGCACATGCCAAGGGCCGCAACTTAAGTGGGGCTGCATAGACATGCAAATAGCTTCTTTCACACTGAGGCGCATGAATACAAAGATTAAGCCTTAAAGCTGCGGTGCTGGACCCAAACGTGGCCAATGAGAGCTAGTCGGCACCTCTCAGGCTCTGCCCACAAGGCTAAGCAGCCAGTACTTCCCACAATGCCACCTCCCTGGGGGCTAGAAATGCCTGCACCCTGTACCCGTCTGTTCCAGCCAGTCCATCGGCTTGCGTCTTTCAGTGCTCAGCCTGGCTGGGAGATGCCTTGCGGTTGTGGAGCCTGTTCTCAGTGGAGGCCGTGTTCAAAGGATCCCACCCAGAGGCCACGTCGAGCCCCACGTAACCCCAAACCGTGGGCCGCAAACAGGCCAAGTAGCTGTGTTCTAGAATCTACGTGGATTGGTGCTTTCTGCCATTCAACTAGTATTGCAAGTAGCCAGCATCTGCTTGAGATGACAGCGCTGAACCAGCTGAGAGAGAGTTCCATGATCAACCTGAACGGTAGTGATCGACTGAGGCAGGCTTGGGAAAAACGGTTATTTAGAACCTCCCTCTATAGAGAACGTGGGAGCACAAAGCTCTGACCAGACACACTCGTGTTCTCAGGCCATTCCCAAAGCTTCAGGCAGTGACTGTGTATACTCACCTCATAGTGTGCATAAGGGAGTGTTACAGGGGCTTCTGGCCTGAGTCCCAAACTTCCACTGAGTGACAGTGGGCAAAAGAGAGAGCTGTGACTGGAGAGATGGACAATTCCCAGGACCGTGTTCATCAGCCGGTAAAAATCCTTCCCGGACACCTGCAGATAAGATGTCAAAATCCACACAGCTCTGCTTGGCACTGAACAATTCAGCCATTCAATAGGATGCTCCCTCCCCCTTAGTCTGCGCTGGCCTTCGACTCCTTCGGGAGTACGAGCGTTACCCAGGCACGGAGACTGTTTGCAGCACCCACTGCATGGAGATGCTCTTATGAGCTCCCCTGTTCTTCTCTGTACCCAAATCAGAGTGTGGGTGAGGATTTCAGGCAAGTCAACACCGTCTCTCCACCCGCTTACCTCCGTGTTCTGAATGACTGGAGTCAATCCCCAGGTCAGGATGCCTCGTCCCGAATACTCATCGTGGAGAAGTTCCGTCACCTTAGCTCCCACTCCAGAAAAGCCATTGTCCAAGTCGCAGAGAATCTGAAAGCCCTGCATTGAAAGGGAGGCAGCAGGTTTGAGTTTCAACTGGCAGATTTCCCCAGCCAGGCCAGGGTCACATGCTCCCACGGACCTGCAGATAATCACACTCTTCCACGTAGAAGTGCAGTCGATCCTCTAGCTCCTCTTGGTACGTGGGGTCATGCAGGAGGCTTTCACCTTGTCCAAAGGCTTCGAGTTGACAGGACTCCCTATAATGGGACAAAGTGATCCTTTAACTCCACTCCCACAAGAGGCTATCCTGCTCCCGTGGGCCACGTATTCAATGGGGCTGATCCCTAAATTGCTGTCAGCAGGGGTGCCCCTTCTTGAAGCTACCACGTTTGCATCTGACTGACACACATACCCATCATAGTTGTACTGCCGTATCATGCAGGTGCTCCTGGGATGCAGACGCACTCGGAGGTAATCAGACCAAACCTGCACACTGCCTTCCAGAGGGCGACCCTTCTGGGAAACGTGCAGCTGTGTAGGGAGCGGAGATCCATCTGCAAGAGCGTATCCAAACAAAGGTTCAGGTTGCAGGGTCCTGAGCTTCTAGAGACCCAGCCTTGGGGGGCTTTACTAAAATCGAGCTCCCCAGTCCTCTGCACAGTTCCCTTGTCAGCCAAGTCCCATGCTTCTTTCCTGTGCCCTTCACATGCGGGATTATCCCAAACCCCTGCCTCGCTCACAGGCTGCACTGGGATGAGACGGATACCTGTGCACCGATGGATACTTAGTGCTAAACAGAGTGTTAGAACTCAACCCTGGAGGGAGACATTTCAGCTTGGAAAAGAGACAAGGGGGGGGATAGGCTAGAGGTCTATGAAGTCATGACAGGTGTGGAGAGTTTTTTGCCCCTAGCACGAGAACTAGGGGTCACCAAATGAAATGGCAGGCAACAGGTTTAGAACAAGCCAAAGGAAGTGTTTCTTCACATGGCACAGTCAACCTGTGGAACTCCCTGCCAGAGCGTTTGGAAGGCCAAGACTCTCAAAAAAAACCTAGGTAAGTGCAAGGAGGAGAGGTCCCTCGGGCTATTAGCCAGGATGGGCAGGGATGGTGGCCCTAGTCTGTTTGCTGGAAAAGGGCAAAGGGATGGATCACTTGATTATTCTGTTAATTCCCTCTGGGGCCCCCAGCCCTGGCTGTTCCCAGACAGGATTCTGAGCTACATGGACCCTTCTTTGGCCGTTTTATGTTCTTTAAATGTAATTAATCTCAGCTGACTGCAATGAAGTCCCTTCCCCATTTCATTCCCTGCACAACTCTCCAGCCGTGATCTCGACTGAACATTCGGGTGGGGGAGACTTACACACCTTTACTCAGAGCGTGCGCTCTGGGACCCAAGTCGCCTTCAGAGGACAGGCATCCCTGCAACAAAGAGCCCCAGACAGGTATTACGAGAGCGTTTCCTCACTTGAAAGGAGGAGCAGGGGAAATACAGGGGGCAGGGGAAATACAGGAGGCAGGGGAAGTGCTTCTACGGTGCACTATCAAGTATGAAGCGTTCCTTTCATTTCTCTAGTGATTTTATGTGGAGGGAGCGCAAACAGGCCCGTGCACACAGCCGCTCTGTGATGCAGGCTAGCTGAGTGCAGGCCACAAGTGCCATCTTAATGCAGGACTAAGGATGTTAAATTTTGATTAATCAGCTCTTCGAGTAGACGATAGAATTTCTATTGATTAGTCGATAAGGGGGGTGCTCGCCATCTCACTGTACCTCGCCCTTTGAAGTGTACAGGAGCTGCCTGTGGCTCTTGTATGTTTCCAAGGGAGAGAGGCAGCAGGAAGCTGCGCCGCACGGCACCAGGAGCAAAGCAATCCCTGCTGGCCTGGGTTCCGCTCTGTGCCTCTTCCTTGGAAATGTACAAGAGCCGCAGGTGGCGCTCATACGTTCCAAAGGGAGAGGAGCAGCAGTAGGACCAATGCAAATGTTTCCCCGCTGATCTCTGCTTCCCCCACGCCCCCATAGAGACCGTGCTGGCCCCCTCCCACTAGCTCCTCTCCTGGGGGGGGGGGAGAAGCGACTAGTCAATTTCCAAATTGCTTATTGAGTAGTCGACTAGTCGCTTACACCCCTATCCAAGATAGTAACAGAAGCTCCCCCGCGGGGACTGTGACTACCCCCAAGGGGTAAGGCTGTGTTCTGCAGACACTTTGTCTTCAGACAGAACACTAGAGAACAGCACCTTTTGCGGCTGTTGAACCCTCTAAACACATGATTAGTGCAGTGCCAGGGGTGCGCTCTGCTCCATTTAAATTGTACTTTTCCTCACACAGTTTGTGTAAGAACAGCTTTTCCTCCAGCCCCCCTCACCGATAACTATGCTCCTCTGTAGCAGCTGCTCCTCTGTAGCAGCCTCTCCACTAGCCCTGCCTTCAGTGCAGGTTCTGCCTTGCTTTACCTCTGCAGGCATGCAGCACCCAGTTGCTCTACTGCCATGTTCAGTAGGGATGTCAACGTATAGATGCGATGAAGCCCAGGCTTACTGGTTAATCCTGACTACATGCATTTCTCCTCCAGCTGCCTCTGTAACAGAGGCAGCAAAAGAGGTGGAGGGGGAAGACAGAAGCTGGTGCCCAGGAGGAGCTGGCTCCCCACAAGCACTGGATCTGTGGAGCCTCCTGCTTCCCTACCCCCGTGGGTGAGGGGGCAGACAGGAGCGGATATGGGGAGCTGGCTTTAAGCTGCGTGCGGACTCCACACACCCAACTACCCACACCCCTTGCTGTCTCCTACAGAGGTTTGGGGGGAGGAGGAGAGACAGGCAAGAGCTGGTGCCATCTTCCTCCCCCCTGCTGCCTCTTCAGGATGCAGCAGCATGGAGAGAAGGGCAGGGGTGGCCTCCCACAGAGCAGCGTCTGGTTGTGGCAAGGGGAGCTAAGACCCCAGCAGACAGGGTTGCAGCAGCACCCCGTGGCTGGACCTAGCTCCCCTTGCAGACTGGCTCCTGCCTGCCACCCTGCACTGCTGCTTCTGATACAGAGGCTGCAGCATGGGCTGGCATGAGGCTCCCTGGGAGTGGGGCCAGGTGTGCACTGGCTACAGGCCCTGCCCTCAAGGACTACCAAATAGTTGTGTAATCCCCCAAAATCTGATCCAGTTACATGTTATCCAAGATCCCTAATGTTCAGAAAGACCTTAGTAAGGCTGAAGAGAGATAAAATTCCAGCCACTTGTAATAAAGCTTGTTGGTAAGATACAAGCTCTGCTGATTTATCATCTGGGGTGCCAGGATACAAATCAAAGCAGTTAGCTGAGTTCTGACCTCTCACCTGCAGTTTGCTGAGATCCTGTAGGAAAAGGTTTCTTGTAGGCGGGTCTTCCTGATGAGTTATCAGATTACCCTGCCTGAAAGATAAATCCCCCCATCAGAAGGAGGCCTCAGCAAGCAAGGTTGCTCTGGGCATTCCACATACAGGTAGCAAAACAGCCCCCACCTGAAGAGCTTAGTGTCTGGTACCTAGTTCCCCAAATACAACCTGGCCCGTGAGCTGTGTTCAGAAGAGTGATCTAGTTACGTTAGCCCCCTACTGCCTGTTTCAGAAGATGCAAGAAACCTCCTAGTGGACAACACTAATAACCACCTCCCCTGCTGAGAGGCAATGAGTCCTCACTTCAAAACGCAGCAGAAGGAATTCCGTCTGCTCCAATCCAGGGGCCTTTAGTAAAGAGCCCCCTCCCCCACCCAGCTGTGCCAGGTAAGCACCCCCATCCCACTCCTACATCCTACCCTTCCTCCTGCCCAGATCCTGCACCCTCGCCCCAGAAGCTCCTGCACATGGAACCCCTTCTTTTTTGGCCCTCCCCCACAGGCTGGGGAAGCCCACAAAAATCTTCTAGGTCCAGGCCTCCAGAAGAGTTAATCTGGCTTTGGGAGAAAGCCCTGAGTCCCTGCACCCCACCTTTTTATTTGGCAGCCTGGTCAGAGACAGCTGTGAGGCTCTGAGGTTTTTCTTTTTCCTTCTTGTTTGCATAGGGCCCCTGCCCTAAAAGAGGTTCCCCAGATCCAGCTCTAAGTGCAGGCACTGGAGTAGAGGAGCAGGAGGCATGAGCCACACCCCAGCAAGAGGATGAAAGAGCAAATGGTAACACTCACCAGGCTACCGAGGTGTCTCTCTTTGGGTCTCCATACAAACATCCCTCTTGTGGCAGAGTGTTCAGGTTTCCTGCACAAGAAAACAGGTCAGCGTTTGCAATACAGGGACCAAGGGCAGCAAGAAATCCTGCCCTAGTAGCGCCCCCGGAGGGCAGCCTGGGCCAGCCACCCTGCGCCAGCAGAGAGCAGGATGCAGCCGGCCTGGGACGGGCACGGCCACAGTCCTTGAGCCTGTGGGCTCCTGCCCACCTTTCAGGTCCATAAGGATGAGGCGCGGCGTGTAGGTCTCCTGCCCGCTTGGGCTGCGGCCAGCCCGGTGCAGCACGTCGGGGCAAAGCCCCTGCCCCTGCGCCTCCGAGGAACAGGGCAAGGCGGCATCCAGAGAGCAGGATGCAGCCGGCCTGGGACGGGCACGGCCACAGTCCTTGAGCCTGTGGGCTCCTGCCCACCTTTCAGGTCCATAAGGATGAGGCGCGGCGTGTAGGTCTCCTGCCCGCTTGGGCTGCGGCCAGCCCGGTGCAGCACGTCGGGGCAAAGCCCCTGCCCCTGCGCCTCCGAGGAACAGGGCAAGGCGGCATCCTGCGGGCGAGAGGGGGGGGTTGCAGGACATTGGGCAGGGGGTCGGGAAAGGCAGTTGCTCTATGTACCCCCCCGTCCCCTGCCCAATGTACCCCACCCCCA